TACAGATTGTTTACTGTGCAGCGCTGTAGTCCTCCTATACAGAATGCCGAGTCCACTGAAACACATTCACCTCGAAACAACCAGAACAGGTGACCTGGCCAGTGGACGCTTCTGGATATTAAAAACTGTGGACATCTGTTGCTTTTCTTTTGACCGTCTAGTCTTTCAGCACATGTGATCGGGGGACGACGAGGGGAAAATGAGAAGGCTCTGTGGGGCAGACAGTTGTCAACATAAGTCATGTGGTTTTCTAACCATCTGCTTGTGGCTCACAGACCTCCTGTAGTATAATCCTATAACCAATTTAGATAAGAGTTTTGTTATGGTCTGTTTTTCTTCTTTGCAAACAAAATGTGGTCAACCACATCGGTAATAAATAAATCTCCTAATTGGCCAACATAAAACGTTATGCTCTGGTAAAGACTTTGTCAAACAATGTTAGGGCGTTCTGCTGGCTTGGTGGTCTAATCCGCACAAGGGCATACTTTTCCGTTTTGATTATATATGTTGTCGGTCTTAAACATTTCTTATATAGCTTAGGGTTACGTCATGCCAAACCAAAATATATTCAGTCTCACATAAGACAAAGAAAGAACCAAATCCTACAACAAAACAGCTGAAAGAATGAATTAAGTAATTTTTGCTTCATAAAATACTTAAACTGAATAGTGTTTTTTTAAATAGATGCATATGGAATTTCTTGATATAAATGTTCTTATTATTTTAGCTTTAATCCTTATACCATGTCGTTTTTCTGGGTTCAAACTCAGCCTAGGGGTCTTTCTTTGTTGCAGGCCAGCCATCCAAAACTCCCAGTTTTTGCATATCATTTCATCTCATCTCTTAATATTATCTTCTAAAGACAATCCTGCTCATGAAGCCTTAAAAGTAATGGTATGGAACCACAATGTGATCCAATGTTGTTGGTCTAAACAAAAAGCAAATGGCAAGACAGTGAACAGAGCAGTCTGGCTTTAAAGTGCATATCAACCAGATGAGGCAGCACTACGTGGCCTCAGCCAGCTGGGTGAAAAGAACACATCTGGCGAGCCGAGTCGAATACCTAAAGATGCCAAACTCTGTTGAAATATTTGGGCGAAGCTGTACTGTTTACCTCAAACATGCAAACAGTAAACACATACAAAGAGATGGTTTGCAGACATACAGTACTGTACACTAACATACTAGCTCTGCATTTCAATACAAACAAAGTCTATTTAGTCACAAGGCCACCACCAATATATATAACGAGACAGGAAGAATGGTTCCTTTTATTTTAAATAGCCTAAACTGTGGTTAGGAGGACATGTCAGTTTGCAGATGCACAAAACCAATAATGCCCTTTCCTTTCATACTCACATTTACCACTCTGTTGTGAACTATATGACAGTAATCTTGCCAGCAGCTATATCAAAAGTACAATAACATTTTGTATACATATTTCATTTTCATACAGTAGCTCTGAGCTCAATGAAGTCACCAGTAAATAGGAATCCGCTTTTTTCCCGCTTATTTTAGCTCAAATTTGTTATCATACCTTTCACAATCTTTAATGATGCAGTGTCATCAGAACATTTAAGGGAATGAGCTGACATTTGAGGGAAAAAACAGTATTGTATTTATGTGTTAAATGAGAGTGTTATAAATCTACTGACAGCAGCCGGTTAGCTTAGCTTAGTTTAGCATAAGGGCTGGAGACAACAGCCTGGCTTTCCAAAGGCAACAAAGTCTTTCCAACCTAACACTAATAAAATAGACATGTTGTATGTTGAACACATATATGAAACATATGGCATTCTGGGAGGATTTTCCGAATACAATTATATTATACAACAACCCCTATCCACAAATGAGCTGACTCATGTGTTTCAACTAGGTAATCTGGCACTCATCTGTAGATTCGTCCTGTCTTGTTTGAATCTTGATTGGACCAAAACTATGGTTACGAATAACAAAATGTCTATTCCGCTTACTGCCTTATTTATACTAGTTAAAACTTCTCCTCACAGTCTGTAACTTTCCAAAGAGTAGACAGAGCATTGCAAGATGTGTTGCTGCTGAAACATGAATATAGGGGAAAACCCTGGGTGGGTCTTTGGACAACGAATGGTAATACTCTTTTCTGGCTTATCCATAGCCTAAGTCCTTGTCTTTACGTTTTCACTCACTTTGCATTTCTGCAGCTTGGCAAGCACACAGGCATCTCTCAAAGGAATGTGCTTAGTTTTGGACCCTTTTTCTTCCTTTCCCTCACATTTCTGTTTCCCTATTCCTTCTTCAAGCATGCACGTGTTGAATATTAATGGCTCTCATGACACACACTGGGTGGACCTCTCTTTTGCACAAACATTTCCACAGCGAGGAGGACAGCTCAGAAAGTCTGAGCTCAGAGGGCAGAGACTGCGTTGTCACGGATACCATGATGTGTTTGGAGGGTTTTCCCTGAGAGAAACCCAGGGGTGCCCAGGGTGACGCCGCCTCCTGAAGACATGCCGGAGTCCTAATAGTTTGCATATGAGCAGTTACATAACTGATATCTCCCTTTGAATCCCAACACGACTGCACAAATTGTAATGGAGGGTGAAATAATTACTGGTACGCTCCTTTCGGGGAAATCCATAAACACTCAATTCTAACATCTGCTTTCCAAACATTTAAACACTTAAGGGTGAATTGAGGGCATTGACAAGAGTCCGCCAAAATGGAAAACTCAAAGTCAGCTTCGATGAGTTTTGGGAAACTGTTGGGACAGCTAACTGGGATGGGCCAGGAATAATCTACGCAGAGGACTGTAATACCAGCTTCATATGAATTCAGCAAAAGAGACAAAAACACTGCTGGAAGGAACACTAAGACTTCAAGGAGTGTTCTTCTTGTTTAGTCTTCTTGCAATTATCTCTCTGTCTTCAGGGCTTTATGTCCAATCTTAAGAAACCAAACTAACCCCTAAGCCTATAAAAACTCAATAAAGGTCATTACATTTAAAATGACACATCAAAAACTCTCCTCCATCACTCATAATACCCTGAACCATATGATTAACTTGAATATGGTTAAAGCCTAAATGTAATTTCCAAATGTCAAGCATTAGTAGTATAGTATTATTAAAGGATATTATTTTCCACTTTCTTTGCAGCATCTGCTCATTAACACTAAACCCTGGTACCCCACTTCACATCCATTTAAAATCAAATGAATTGCCCTGCATTGTATTGCCTATGCCGAGGTAACTAAACCGGTGCTCCCCGCAATGAATGGAATGTTCTTTTTTTAAAGTCTGAGAGTGTTACATCATTTGATAAACATCTGAATTATCCTGTTTACCGTTTCATCAATGTATGTGTATTAGTGGTATTGTGCTCTACTGGACATTCTGACCTGCTGCTGTCGCCTGCACTGTCTTTCATTGGCTGGAATTATAATCACATCACAGTGATAATCTATGTTGCTTTTACAAAATGTACAATGACATTTTTCACTGGCTTAGTTAATGGGGACTGCTAATGCATAATGTTTACGACATGTAACACATGCAAACTGACACACACTTCTCAGGTTTCTTTGTTGCAGGTAGTGATATATGACCCTGATGCAAGTGTTCAATAATTCAGAGTGTACGATGTGTATGTGCATCCAGAATTCTGACGAGGCGCCAAACACACAAGCAGACACCAAAAGAGAAAATATATTCTTGTTTAAGGCTAATAGTGGTTAAGTAAATGCAGGGGGTTTGCCACATAATGTATGTCTCCGAAGACGGAATAGGTCAAATACACTGTCAAGTACAGTCCTGGTACACATGACAGGACAAGTTAGAGACTCTTTTATTTTTGCATAAAGACTGCTGGTTGGATCCCTGCAGGCAAAGAAAAATAGAAAAGCCCTTGTGGAGCGTGCCAAAGCACACTGCCACTGCAATATTTGTATCAACACGTATATTCGTTTTTTGCAGCCAGGGATTAATCAAAAGTTCCCAAATGAAAGGAAAACGGACATCTCTATTGTCCTTATATCTTTTAAGCCATAGAACACACCTCTCATTGATCGAGATAGGGCTGTCCTGGAAATTATTCGATGACTAACATCATACGATTATTTCAACTAGCCGTTTAGTAGCTTCAATCACCAAATTAATCATGCAAAAGCACCACTTTTAAATAAACATTTTAAAAAAATGAATTGACACAAGAAAATAAAAAAGTATAAAGAAAAGAGCAGAATATTCTAGAAAAGGGCGTGCTAGAATAAAATACATTAGATCAAAACAGAACATCGTAGAATTGAATACAGAAAATGATATATTAGAACAAATCATAAATAATAGAATGGATTTAAACAGAACAAATGCATAATAGAACAGAACATTATAGAATAGAACATATTAATAGAGAAAAGAGTAGATTATAACAGATCATGATAGAAGAGATTACCATAGAATAGAAGGAAACATACAGTAAGGAATCAGTGTGTTTGTGTCCAGACCACCATACATAATATTCTGTGACCAGAATATTCCCTCAGCGCGCGTGTGTGTGTGTGTGTGTGTGTGTGTGTGTGTGTGTGTGTGTGTGTGTGTGTGTGTGTGTGTGTGTGTGTGTGTCCCTCACATGGTGGAACAACTGACAGCAGCGACCACAGGTGACAGACAGACGGGGGGGGGGATTATTGGGTCTGCAACACTTGTGTTCTCAGCCATCACTCATTCAGCTCACGTCACTATCCTAACAGCTCTGTATTTACTGAGGCTGCCTGCAGGGAGGATAGATCCTACTCAAAGTACGCACAAACGAGTCAACCCCTCACTATAACTGTACAAAACAAATAAGTATAATAGGAAAATGCAGGGTTGTTACGTTAAAATGGGTTCTAATGATGTGTCGGCAGTTGTACCAGTGTTAATACAAAGTTATATACCCATCCTTTACCCCATGATAGGCGTTTCTCCAGTTCTTCTTGCGCTGTAAAGTAGCCAAAGTAGGGTTTTTTGGTGCTTTTCTTACCTTTAAAGTATCTTATCGTCCTGTGGAAAAATGTGGTAAATGTCCAGTCAGACAAGATATCCAACTTCTCCAGCCTGCTGATGTGGTGGCGGAGCTGCTTTTCCCCTCGACACAACTTTCAGCGGCTACACTCCACGCAGCTCTGGAGTCATTATTCCCGGAGAAAAATACTTTCTTTCGGCGTAAATGTCAAGCAGTCATATTGACACGGGAAAGTGACACGGTGGTCCCGGCTGTGTGTCGGTACATTCAGCTGTCATCACATTAGAAACGGGAGCAGACGAGTCGCTTTGCTCCTCTCCATGCCTACATACAACAACGCCACCCACTTTTTCCAAAGAGACCCGTAGCTGGCCCGGGCTGTGCCTGACTGAAAATAAAAGCAAACTGGGTCCAAAAGTTCAGCAGGACCTGAATCATATCACTATAACTCAACAAGTGAGAAACTGCAGGATTGTTTACTTTCAGACAGATTTTTAATAGACTATAATAACCAATAACGACCAACCAATTACCAGGAACAAAAGTAGCTTAAGTACAGTGAGTTCATTAACTCAAGTACTATAATAAAATACAAATCTGAGATATTTGTTAGTATTTCCATTTGGTGGTACAACATTCTAATACTAAGACCTTTTGTACCTAACCAATAATATATATAATTACATTCACAGAGGCCCTTTTTTTGGCCCGGTTTTTTTTACTGAGTTGTCTTTATTATAGCTTTCATTCATTATCAGTTAATATGCTGGTAACTGATTAATCGATAGCTTTCAATCTTTCAATATCTGAAAAAAAAGAAGAAAATAAAGTTTTGCTGCAGCTTTAATTTTAAATGAACAGGCCCCACTTTGAATGCAGGTCTTTTTTGTGTTATTACTTTTTTTCTACTAATAGTTTACAAGTTAATGAGTTATAACAGATACATCCTCTCAGAAAGCAGATCTTCATTTAAATTCAGGTCATGAGGCCAGAATGCATCTGTGTATTGAGTTTGAGGAAGCCTTAATGTAGCAGAATGGACCTCCTTAACCTAGGAGTTTATAAAGAATGTTTAAATACTTAAGTTTAACATAGTCACTGTAACCTAATCATTAGACACTTCAATTATGTCATCTATTGCATGTAAAATCCAATTGATAACAAAATAGAAAAACTTGTTTTTGAATCGCAGGGAGTGTATCAATTTCTCCATGAACTGTTCCTCAATCCATTAGCTCATTCCTGTGCAGGTCAGCACATGTTTGGGGCACTTCACCCTGACCAAACATTAGCTGTTTTAGGAAGTAACACTATCTGTTTCTAAATAATACCATCTGAGTCTCCTATGACATATACAAGATTGCATTTGTTCAGCATGACAAACGTAAATCTTCCGACACGCAGGAGAAGGTGTAAGCAGTAATCTTTGTGTGGCTTTACCCTCAAACTTTGGCTCTTTCATTTGGAGTTCATTAAAGCAATGAAAGCCTTTTTTAGATAGAGAAAATCATAGTTGTTGAATAAGGGATTATATGTTTGGTAATCCAATTCTCAGCCTTGGCCATTGTGTGCTGTGGGTGTGAATCACTGCCTCTAGTTTTTTTGCTGCGTCTGCAGTAATGACAGCTTCCTCATATGTGATCTTGAATGTGCCGGACAATAGCAGGAAACAACGGATGCTTTTAACTTTAGGTGCTGACACGAAAAAGGAAAGATACAGGAGAGGTCACACTAAACACTAAAAACAGGCCCAGTAACAAACACACATGTGTGCAAACGTATATATATAAATCCACTTCATCACAACATACAGTTTAATACATGGTGTCATGTAAAATAAAGTACTGGAGCTATCACGATACAAAAATAATCCATTAATCGCTAATTAGTATCTTTTCTTTATCCATTTTCTATTAATTTGTTATAAAGAGGTAAGAAAAGTATCATGCAAAATATGACTAATATTAAGGAATGTCGTCATAAAAATTCTATAATTAATAAAATGTGTATATTGTTAAAAAAAGGTTATAGAAACAGATATCCTAACAAAAATATTTTGATAGCACTACTGTATGTAACAAATCGCCACCACAATTAAAATAGGAGACAAATACTAATATTTAAAATATATGAAAAGTTAAACCACATTTAGAAAAAGAGAGAACAGTTAAAACTAAAATAATATATGGCTGGTTTAGGTCCTATCTATCTGAACGCTCTCAGTTTCTACGTGTCAACGATGAATCTTCCATGCAAACCAAAGTTAGCCATGGAGTGCCACAGGGCTCAGTGCTTGGACCTATTTTGTTCACATTATAATGCTTCCGTTAGGCAATATTATAAGGAATCATTCTGTAAATTTCCACTGTTATGCGGATGATACTCAACTATATTTATCCATCAACCCTGATGAAACCAATCACCTAAATAAAATTCAAGACTGCCTCAAGGACTTAAAAACGTGGATGACCTTAAACTTTTTGATGTTAAACACGACCAAAACTGAAGTTATTGTACTCGGCCCAAAGAAACTACGAAACAAACTATCTAAAGATATAATAACTATGGATGGCATTAATTTGGCCTCCAGTGAGACTGTAAGGAATCTTGGTGTTATATTTGATCAGGATTTATCCTTTAACGCCCACATAAAATCAATCTCAAGGACCGCCTACTTCCATCTACGCAACATTGCCAAAATTAGGCATATCTTGCCTCAAAACTATGCAGAGAAACTAGTCCATGCATTTGTTACTTCTAGGCTGAATTATTGTAACTCTTTATTATCAGGGTGTACCAAGAAGTCAGTCAAGTCGCTTCAGCTGATTCAAAATGCTGCAGCTCATGTACTAACCAGAGTTAGGAAAAGGGACCACATTACTCCTGTTCTGGCTGCCTTACACTGGCTCCCTATAGAAAACAGGATAGAATTTAAAATTCTTCTTCTGGCCTACAAAACACTTAATGGGCAGGCGCCATCTTACCTTAAAGAACTCATTATACCCTACTGTCCTACTAGGGCATTGCGTTCCAAGAATGCAGGGTTGTTGGTTGTTCCTAGAGTCTCTAAAAGTACAATGGGAGCCAGAGCCTTTTCTTATCAAGCTCCACTTTTGTGGAATCAGCTTCCAGTTTGTGTTCGGGCGGCAGACACCCTATCCGTTTTTAAGACTGCGCTTAAGACCTTCCTTTTTGATAAAGCTTATAGTTAGGGCTGATTAGATTCAGCCCCTAGTTTTGCTGATATAGGCTTAGTTTGTCGGG